TGCACCAAAGCAAGTGCCCAGCATTTTGGCTGTATGTCAGCCATAGGTGAAGAAGCGTGTCATTCTGTGACATCTCAGGGGAGCAGATACATCAGTCTTTTTCTTGGCAACTGAATACATTCAAGTTATGGATGGAAACTACTGCCGCAGTCCAACAAGTGTAAGAGATCTTTTAATGTTTTAATGGTTAGCAGGGACAATGAGGCCGAACTTCAAACCTGGACAACAAACAAGGCAAAAATAGGGAACCTGCAGAATTGAAGGCTTCACAGTTTAACATTTCAGAGCACGTCATTGATAGTAGGAATGCAAAATGGAGACCTAAATGGTAAAAAACCCGAGGGCTCACAGCACATTCCCTCCAGTCGATTTCTTTTGACAGTAAAAAAAAAAAAAAAAAATGTAAACCCATAAATCACAAATGTGGGGTTCATCAAACAACTAGGACAAACTGAACCTTTACACTATCTTTACATCTTACTGATATTGCAAATTATACCACAACAGATCTTTACACCTGCCCTGTCTGTGCACAGACAGAATTCCTCATCGTGCCTAAAGTTATGCAACAGGAAAGCTACATTTGCAGACAGACACCACAGAAAGGAAAGCTGCACATGCAGCTTCGCCTTAGTGAGACCATGGATTGCAACACGGACACACGCAAAGATAATTCTTTGCCCATCACTCTACTTGGAAGCAATATGAAACGTTCCAATTACGTAAGTAGTATGCAACTCTGATAAAGACCCAGTCATGGAAGTATCAGCTCAAAGGTACTATCATCCTTTCTTTGCAAACAGATTACCTGGAAGATACACAACTCTCAAAACTTAAAGTGTACGTTTATGGTCACTGACTGATCAAGGTACAGAAAAGCAAACTGATGAACCCACAGCATGGACAGCTGAAGCCCAAGCAAGGCGATACCAAAAAATATGATACCTTCAGAATCATTTTCTGTAAGCCAGTGATAAACCCTGGGAATCAACACAACATACGTCCTGTCTCCACCACTACGACCACACACACAGTGGCATTGAGACTTTCCTCAAACCCTTCTCAGCTTGCATCTTGTAATTGATTTTCATCAATTGCAGACTCCACCGTTTTGCACGAATTGGAGCTGCACAGTGAGTGTCTCCTTACCACGGATAAGATCTATCTCCATGTGATAAGCAAGATCATTTCTTCAAATAACAGAAAAACCCCAGGCATATGAAAGAGTCATTACAGGGGTAAACATGAAGAGCATGTACTGGACAGGACTGCAGCAGTAACAGATCTCGTCTCCCATATACATCTTTACAGCTCAAAACATGAAAGGGACATAAGGGGCGTGCAGAAAGACAGAACTGATTTCTACATACTGTGAGAACAATAGCCCACGTTTATATGAGCATAATGAGCAAGGAAAAGTAATACATTAGAAAACAATATGATCATATTATAAAATATATAATGGTTTCTAGAGCAATTCGGGGTATGAATGACCAGTTGTCTTCTCCCAGAGCTCCTGTTAAGGCAATTAAACTGTAAGAACAACCTGCAAAAACACTTAAAGAACCTCCTAGGATTTCCCCATACAAGTGGAATAACCTGTCTTTTAGCAAAAGCTCAGAGAAGACGAAACTTACAATGAAGGATATTATGGGTGGGCACAGTTCTCACATCTTTACATTTCTAACCAGATGAAGAAACATTGCTCATGCCGCTTCAGAAAAGAAACGTCAAGTTTAAAAGAAAACCAGATGCGGAACTACATGGTCACTTAACACCGTGGAAAACAATGAAGACATGGCAAAAAAAGAAAGTCCCAGCCCCAGCATAAGTACTGCTGGCACCAACCCCGCTTCTCCCGCTTCCCGCGGGAAACCTGAGCAAACACCCCAAGTTCCCCTCCCGGGAAAAAGAGGCAGCAACACCCACAGCGGGTCGGGGACAAACATGGCCTTTCTCGTCTGCAGAGCTCCCCGCTAGGAACGTGGTACCCGTCGGAGAAAGGGAAGAGGCAACACCGGGAAGGAAGAGCCTCAGGGAAAGTCTCGTGTGAGAAACTCACCGTGGGAGCGCCGTACTGAGACGAGTCATGACCACCAGGAATCTCATATAAAACACGGCAAGAGAGAAAAAGGAAAACGAAGAGGCGTCTTAAAAAAACACGAAGCCCCGCCACAAGGTAAGTCCCGCCGACACATGAAACACGGAAAAATGAACCATGGGTAAAAAAGCAGAGGAAAAACAGCAGAGGAAAGGAAGCGGCGCGGATAAAGGCTCCTGGGAGGAACTCACCTTGGGAGGGGCAGGGTCCTCCCCGAGCAGCGGCGCGGGATCGTCGGGAGGCGGACGGGCCGGGAGGGTGTCGCTGCAGCTGCCAGAGGACAAGCGGAGATGGCTCTTGCGCGAGTCGGCGGTGAGAGACACCTCGTGCGAGTACGAGTGCAGGAAGGCGCGGACGCCGTCGATGCCCACAAACTGAGAAGCCGGGACACCGCGCAAGGCAGCACTTCCCGACGCCGCCAGCAGCTGAGAGCGGCGCCAGTGCCGAAGGCGCAGAGCCAGCAGCAGCAGCAGGAAGGCGAGGAAGAGGCAGGAGACGGCCGCCACAGCCAGCACCAGCCAGCGCGTGAGGCTGGCGGCAGGCTCACCCGGCGTCGCCGCCGCGCTGCCCAGCTCCGAGAGCAGCTCGGCCACGCTCTCGGCCAGCACCACCGTCAGCGTGGCCGTGGCCGACAGCGCCGGCCGCCCGTGGTCCTTCACCACCACCACCAGGCTCTGGCGAGCCGCGTCGCGGGCCAGCGGGAAGCGCGCCGTGCGCACCTCGCCGCTGTGCAGCCCCACGCGGAACAGCCCCGGCTCCGTCGCCTTGGCCAGCTCGTACGACAGCCACGCGTTCTGCCCCGCGTCCGCGTCCACCGCCACCACCTTGGCCACCAGCGCCCCAGGCTCCGCCGAACGCGGCGCCAGCTCCACACCCGACCAGCCCGACACCGCCGCCGAAGGCGCCGCTGCCGGCGGGTACAGCACCTGCGGCGCGTTGTCGTTCTCGTCCACGATCTCCAGCAGCACTGACACGTTGCTGCTCAGCGCCGGCGCGCCGCCGTCCTCCGCCCACACCCACAGCCGCACCTCGCGCACCTCCTCGTAATCGAACGAGCGCAGCGCGTACAGCGCGCCCGTCTCCGCCTGCACGGACACGTACGACGAGAGCGGCGCGCCCCGCACCCGCCCCTCTGACAGCCGGTACCGCACGCGCGCGTTCTGCCCCCAGTCCGCGTCCAACGCTCGCACCGTCAGCACCAGCGCTCCCGCCGCGTTGTTCTCGGCCAGCCGGGCGCTGTAGCGTGTCTCCGTGAACACGGGTGCGTTGTCGTTCACGTCCAGCACCCGCAGCTCCAGCACCGCGCTGCTCTCCAGAGCCGGGGATCCGCCGTCTACCGCCCGCAGACTCACATTGTACTCTGACACCTTCTCGCGGTCCAGCTCCCCCGCCGTCAATATGCGGTAGTAGTCCTCAAAGGTCTTCTCCAGCCGAAACGGGAGATTTTCGCCGATGCTGCACCGCACCTGGCCGTTCACCCCCGAGTCCCTGTCCTGCACGTGCAGCAATGCCACTACCGTCCCCAGTGGTGCATCCTCAGAGATCTCGCTCAGGGACGACGACATCGCCAGTTCTGGTGCATTGTCGTTGACGTCTGTCACCGTGATCGCGACATTAGCCGTGTCGAAAAGTCCCCCTCCATCGTGCGCATGTATCTCCAGTTCGTGTGAGGAGATTTCTTCAAAGTCTAAACTTCCCTTCAGAGATATTTCTCCAGTCTCAGAGTCAAGCTGGAAAAGTTCCGACGCCCCGTCTGAAATTTTATGGAAAATGTATTTCACGTGCCCGTTCAGACCCTCGTCAGCGTCGAAGGCTTTGACGGCAACGAGGGCGGAACCCACGGGCACGTCCTCTGCCACACGCACCGTGTACTCTGCCTGGCTGAACACGGGCGCATTGTCGTTGGCGTCCAGCACAACCACGCGGATTCGCGCCGTGCCCGTGCGAGCCGGCTCTCCGCCGTCTCTCGCCCTCAGCACCAGCTCGTGAAACGCTGCCTCCTCCCGGTCCAGCGCCTTCTCCAGCACCAGTTCGGGACGCTGATCACCGCCTAGGCCCGCCTGCACAGCCAGCGAGAAGTGCTCGTCGCCGCTCAGCTCGTAGCGCTGCAGGGAATTTGGCCGCGCGTCAGGGTCGTAAGCCCCTGCCAAGCGAAACTGAGCTCCCGGGGCAGTCGATTCACTCATTCTCAGCTCCGTCTCTGTATCTCGGAAGCTGGGAGTGTTGTCGTTAATGTCCGTGATTTCTACTTCGATGCCGTAAACCTTCATTTCCCTTTCCACGATCATTTCACAGCGCAGCACACATTTCTCCACCAGTCGGCACAGCTGCTCCCTGTCTATCCTCTCCGCCGTTACCAAATGGCCCGTCTTCCCGTGCAGGGCGAAATACTTAGCCCTACCTCTGTCTAAGATTCGGACGCCGCGGTCGCTGAGCGCCGGCAGCTCCAGACCCAGGTCTGTGGCCACGTCGCCCACGAACGATCCCTTGGGCAGCTCCTCGGGAACCGAGTAGCGCAGCTGCCCCCAGGCCGCGTCCCACGCCGCCACCAGGACACCCCACAGCAGGGTTCTCTCCCGCCGTCCCCAGCGCCTCCCCGCCGCACCCATTTCTGCCGCGGTACTGCCGGCCCTGCTCCACCGTAACTAACTCCCCGCCGCCGATCGCTGTTGTGGCTCCTTCTTCTCCCCTGCTGCTGCACCTGTTTCCCGATCCGGATGCCCTCTGCCGGCCCTTACCACCGGCCCCTCCGCCTCGCTGAAGCACGGCTCCGCTCTGCCGGGACGCTTCGCCGTCCTCCCAGCCGCCGAAACAGCCAACGAGAGAGTGAGCGATTGAGCTAAACCGCAGCGGGCGGGGATGCCGGCAGCGCTCTGGCCTTCCTCTCGCTCCTCCTCGGTCAACAGCGGCGCCCGCAGTCTCCTACTGGCACTACAGGCATCGAGAGCTGCAGAGCGCTGCCAGCCCGCCCGCCCTTGCCCACGGCCACCTCGCACGGACGGCACAGGCGCCACGGAGGAGCCGTGATCCGTAAGTCAGGGATTTCTACCTCCCAGGAATAATGAAGTGGTGATGGTGATGGATATAATGTGAAATTCTTCTCCCACAAGGAACAATTTTGTAAAGGCGATATAATGGAGATATAAAGTTCTTTTCATATGATGTGCAGAGTAGTACAAGCCTTTGCCGTTTAGTCCACAGGCACTCACACACTATTTGCACAGCTTTTTTTATATTTGGGCTACAATGACTTTTCCCTCAGTCTTTCAGCAGATCAAAGCTGTAGCAGACCAGAAGGCCATCGACCACATTAATTTCCTAAATCCCGAGCATAAGTGCACAAGGCAGTTATGAAGACAGTCGTCCCTTAAAGGCAGTGGTCCTCTAGGCTGGCCATTTCTGGAGTTTGTTACTTTTCCTGTGCACATCGGGGCTGCTCTGGATCATGCTGTATTGCTCCCAGCACAACTTTGGAATTTTTCATTACAGCCCGAATAATACAGGTTGCACTTCCACTGAGGATTTGGGTTTCCTTCGGGAGTCCAACACTGAAACATCTTTAACGAAAATGTTCATGTTCAGCTGTCATCCAGGGGCCAGTCCATTGCTTTGGCAAAGACAGATCGCCAAGTAAAAGTCTCAAACATGGTTTGTCAGTTCCGCCTTCTCTACCCCGTTGTGCAGAGCTGACGGATCTCATTCTACACACTAAGGAACCACCTTCACCTTTACTAACTCATGACATTCCAGGCAACACAATTTTTATAGAGAAGACTCTGTTGAACCTGAATGTGTGATGAACCAAGAAATACCATCACTAAGTGCTCTGAGTGGAAAATGCAAAATTCGATATTTTTACATTGAGAACATCCTGCGTCACCAAAGCTCCTTACATCCAAGAGTTCCACCACACTTCTGTCATTTTATGCATAACGTGTTGAATGTGAGGAACATCCCCAAGGAGCTTCCATGTGTGATGGCTAATGCTGCGGGATGTATTCCCTCTCACAAATCGGCAGCACTGCTTATCTGCAAATTATCTGACGGTGCACTCAATCCCCCTGTCTATGAATATACTGAGTAGTCCAAGGATCCCTGCACAGACTCTTGAAAGACACCATACATCACTCAGATCATGTTTACATCTGCTCCCCCTAACAGTAACAGAACACAAAGACTCCCTCACATCTGCCTTTGACACCTTCTGGAGCATGAAAAAGAGGCATTAACACACAACTTATTGCTCAACAAAGCTATGCTGATAATTACAAGTAAGCATACACAGACAACAAATAAAAGGAATAAACAACCCCAAACCCAACATCAACCAGACAAGCAATGCAAGGAAGCATTAGAAGAGAAAGTGTCAGAGAAACTCACTGGGAAGTCTTCTTGGTCTACACTGCAGCCACTGAAATTCTTCCCTAGAGCACCTGAAGTCATTCCTATCTCAAGCTGCACCTACGGCCCCATAGTCTTCCTCTGGACCACATAGCAGCAGACATTATTTTAAGGAACAGTAATCAGATCTCAGCAACTGTTTTCTACGCTGTGGCCTGCTCATCCCCAAAAATATGATTGTGTAAGTTCAAAGGTCTTACCATAGGCTCATCCTTCAGAGAAAATACAACAGATTAGCTTCTTATTCATTCTCTTCACACCTACCACTCTGACTTAGGTGGTTGAAGTACATATTTGCTGCAAAACAATACACAGAGTTTCAAATGCAAAAGCACTGTCCAGAAATGGGGAAAAGGAACCATGATCGTTCAATGAATTAAAGCATGAAAAAAAGTGTAACTACAGCTGTCAAGAAGCTCTACATCACACAGTACAGGGAGATACAAAGGGATAACAAAGAGGAATTATAAACCATTCTACCCACATATCATGCATCTGCATGCTGAGTTACCAAACAAATGCTCTATTCCCATTGCCTTTCAGGACAGGGAAACCAGGGTCACACAAAAAAAAAAAATGGCACAGGCCTTAGCACCAGGATGGAAATCAAACCATTGCTCAGCCAAAACCAAGCTGATCCACTTATTTTCCAGGTTCAAAGTCAACCTCACCCTTCTTGCTCTGCATTCATAGTCTCTGTTTGCACCACAGACAATATCCTGTATTTAGAAAATAAGTCATACACAGGTGAAAGAGTGTTTCATTCTGTGACATCTCAGGGAAACAAACATATATCAAAGCCTTTGTTTTTGCAGAGGAAATCCTCAAAAGTATGGTTGGAAACTATTATCCCAGTCCAACAAGTGTAAGAGATCTTTTAATGTTTTAAGACGGACAATGAGGCCCAGCTTTAAACCTGGACAACAAACAAGGCAAGAACGGGGAACCTGCAGAAGAGAAGGCATTATATCTTAATATCTCAGAGTATGTCAGCTGCAGTAGGTACACAAGAGGGGGGTCTAGTTGGTACAAAAGAGATGGGAGTTCATAGCATAGGCAGCAGCCACATTCATTCAAGGCAATTTCTCTAGATAATAAAAAGAGGTAAATGGATGGAACCATGACTGTGGGCCTCACCAAAAAACCAGGACAAACTGAATCTTTATACCATCCTTCCAGGTTTAGGTATTTCAAATTATATCACAGCAAACTTTTACACCCGCCCTGTCTCTGGACAGACAGAATTGTTCACTCTGGCCAAATTTCATGCAACAGAAAAGCTACTTTTGCATTCAGACACCAGAAATAAAAGTTGTGCACATAACTACTTCTGACTGAGAACAAGGATCACAATACGGATGAGTGCAAAGAGATTTCTCTGCTCATCACACTACTTGGAAACAATGTAAAATGTTCTCAAGTGTGTGAATGATATGCAGCTCTAAAGACTCAGTCGTGGAAGTACCAGATCAAAGACACCATAATCCTACCTACAGCATATGGACAAATTGAAAGATAGATGACTCTCACAACTTAGTATAAATCATACGTATATACTTAAAAAAAAAAAAAAAAGATTATGCTACAGAAAAGCAAATGGATAAACCTGCCAGAGCTTGGACAGTCAGATTCTGAGATGTGCAATATCCAACAGTAAGACAGCTTCAGATTAATTTTTTTTTGTAGGCCAGCAGTAAACCCTCAGAATTGACAATACATATGGTATGTCTCCATCAGTACCTCCTCAAACACGACACCACCCAAGACCCTCCTCAAGCCATTCACATATTGCATCATTGTCCTTGATCTCAGACTACATGAAGGAAAAGTTGCACAGACAACTTCTTCTTACCATAGACAAGATTTGACTTCAAACCATGTCTATGTGACAAGCAGGAGCATTACTTTCAGAGACATTTTAAAGAAATATGTCTATGAAAGTCTTTCACTTACAGCTGTAAACATGCAAGGGACATATAGGACAGATAAACAAATAGATCTGATATTCCACACACAAAGACAGAAAACTGCCCACATTCAAATTATTCCAATGAGCATGGGAAGAAGTTAAAATGTGAAAAAAAAACCCCAACCTACCAACTTTTCTTGATAATGGCACTTAGAGTAGGTACATAAATCAGGTCCTTCACAGGAAAAGAATAATCAGATGGCTCCTTCCAAATAATTTGTCATATGTACATAATTAAGCTGTCAGTTAAAAACATCACAACAACCTGCAAACACACATGAAGAACCTTCTAGGGCTCCCCATACATCCTGAATAACATGTCTTTGGCCAAGTTTCTTTGGGAAGATGAAATATTGCCCAATAATACAGCTGGGCACTGAACAGGGAAAACAGCAACCCATGTCTCTTGTGCCATTCACCAGCCCGTCAGCCATTCTACCCATGAATCATTGTTCCATAATATGCAACAATGACGACTTACTATGCAAGTACTCTCTTATCAGAGGATTGCCACTGTCTTTCAGGACAGGGAACCAGCATCACAGCATGAGTGGCACAGGCCTTGGCACCAGGTAAAAAGCATTTTGATCTGCCTGTGCTCCTGGTTCCAAGCCAGCCCCTCATCCTCCTTGCTCTGCATTAATAGCCTTTAGTAGTACCACCAAATAGATCCTATTTTTGACCATATGTAGGCTAGAAGCTGACAGTGAAGAGTTTCATTCCTTGATGTTTCAGAGAAACAGGGCAACAGGAGACAAAACAAGGCAAGAATAAGAAAATGAGAATGTGAGGGCACCTTAGCTTTGCAGTATGTCATCTGTTGTAGGTTCATAAGACGATTATCGAGCTGGTTGGTTCAAGACTCAGTCATGAGTATCAGCGATTGTGCTGAATGACACCATCATGCACAGAGGCAATTTGACAGATATGTGACTGCAACTCTTCATGCAATGTTTACATCTACACCCAATAACTACCATTCACAGAACAAGCGGCCATCGAACATGACAGTACATAAAACGAGTATCTTCTTGGCACATACTTCAAAGAACGAGCCCCAAATCAAGAAATTAATGACAAAAATACCCTCCCATCCCCTGTATTACTAGCCGATTTTGAGACTGTTAAACGCCTCTAGTTACTTCATGCGAGCAAGAGCCACTGAAAACACCTGAAAGGTTGCTCAAGGGAGGGGAAAACTTCAACCAACCAACAAGGACAAACAGATGGCAAAACGACGTTTCACATGGCAGTTCTTAGACAAATTAACCCAGACACATGTGACTTTCATGGCTAATGCTTGAAGGCAAACGCATCAGAGGATTCTCAGCATTTCTCAGGATGCAGAAAAGGGGAGATTGATGGAAGTGGCAGAACTCACGCACAACTCCAATGATAAATCTCTCCAGCCCTTCACCAGAGCAGAAAAACACCCCCGAGAGAAACTCACCGTGGAAGCAGCAAGGTCAGAATGGCGGGTGGCAGCAGACTCATTCAAGAGCAACTGAGCGGGTTCGTCGGGCGGAGGACGGGCCGGGAGGGTGTCGCAGCAGCTGCCAGAGGACAAGCGGAGATGGCTCTTGCGCGAGTCGGCGGTGAGAGACACCTCGTGCGAGTACGAGTGCAGGAAGGCGCGGACGCCGTCAATGCCCACGAACTGCGAGGCCGGTACACCGCGCAAGGCGGCACTGCCCGACGCCGCCAGCAGCTGCGAGCGGCGCCAGTGCCGCAGGCGCAGCGCCAACAGCAGCAGCAGGAAGGCGAGGAAGAGGCAGGACACGGCCGCCACGGCCAGCACCAGCCAGCGCGTGAGGCTGGCAGCCGGCTCGCCCGGCGCCGCCGCCGCGCTGCCCAGCTCCGAGAGCAGCTCGGCCACGCTCTCGGCCAGCACCACCGTCAGCGTGGCCGTGGCCGACAGCGCCGGCCGCCCGTGGTCCTTCACCACCACCACCAGGCTCTGGCGAGCCGCGTCGCGGGCCAGCGGGAAGCGCGCCGTGCGCACCTCGCCGCTGTGCAGCCCCACGCGGAACAGCCCCGGCTCCGTCGCCTTGGCCAGCTCGTACGACAGCCACGCGTTCTGCCCCGCGTCCGCGTCCACTGCCACCACCTTGGCCACCAGCGCTCCGGGCTCCGCCGAACGCGGCGCCAGCTCCACACCCGACCAGCCCGACACCGCCGCAGAAGGCGCCGCTGCCGGCGGGTACAGCACCTGCGGCGCGTTGTCGTTCTCGTCCACTATCTCCAGCAGCACTGACACGTTGCTGCTCAGCGCCGGCGCGCCGCCATCCTCCGCCCACACCCACAGCCGCACCTCGCGCACCTCCTCGTAATCGAACGAGCGCAGCGCGTACAGCGCGCCCGTCTCCGCCTGCACCGACACGTACGACGAGAGCGGCGCGCCCCGCACCCGCCCCTCTGACAGCCGGTACCGCACGCGCGCGTTCTGCCCCCAGTCCGCGTCCGTGGCCCGCACCGTCAGCACCAGCGCTCCCGCCGCGTTGTTCTCGGCCAGCCGGGCGCTGTAGCTCGTCTCCGCGAACACGGGTGCGTTGTCGTTCACGTCCAGCACCCGCAGCTCCAGCATCACGTTGTTCTGCAGCGCCGGCGACCCACCGTCCACCGCCCGCACGGTCACGTTGTACTCCGACACTTTCTCGCGGTCCAGCTGCCCCGCCGTCACCACGCGGTAGTAGTCCTTAAAGGTCTTCTCCAGCCGAAACGGGAGATTTTCGCCGATGCTGCACTGCACCTGCCCGTTCGCCCCCGAGTCCCTGTCCTGCACGTGCAGCAGTGCTACCACCGTCCCCGGCTGTGTATCCTCTGAGATCTGGCTCAGGGACGACCTCACCGAAATCTCGGGGACATTGTCATTGATGTCTGTCACGGTAATAATGACAAGTACCGTGTCGAAAAGTTCCCCACCATCATGTGCCTGAGCTTGAAGTTCGTAGGAGTATCCTTCCTCGAAGTCCAGGCTCCGCACTAATGTGAGCGCTCCCGTCTCAGAATCGAGCTGGAAAATCTGGGATGCAGTGTCCTTCGTTTTCTTCAATGAGTATTTCACGTGTCCGTTTAGACCCTCGTCAGCGTCAACGGCAGTAAGGTTGACTATAACAGAGCCTACGGGCACGTTCTCGGGCACACGCACCGTGTACTCTGCCTGGCTGAACACGGGCGCGTTGTCGTTGGCGTCCAGCACAAACACGCGGATCCGCGCCGTGCCCGTCCGCGCAGGCTCTCCGCCATCGCTCGCCCTCAGCACCAGCTCGTGAAACGCTGCCTCCTCCCGGTCCAGCGCCTTCTCCAGCACCAGCTCGGGACGCTGATCCCCGCCAGGGCCCGCCTGCACGGCCAGCGAGAAGTGCTCGTCGCCGCTCAGCTCGTAGCGCTGCAGGGAATTCGGCCCCGAGTCCTGATCGTGAGCCTCGGCCAGGGGAAACCGCGACCCCAGGGCTGTCATCTCACCCATTCTAATTTCCGTTTCTTTCTCCTGGAAACTGGGTGCGTTGTCGTTAATGTCCGTGATCTCCACTTCGATGTCGTAAACCTGCATTTCCCCATCTACAACTACCTCACAGCTCAGCACACATTTCTCCACCAGTCGGCACATCTGCTCTCTGTCTATCCTCTCTGCTGTCACCAAATGACCCGTCTTCCCGTGCAGGGCGAAATACTGCGTCCTACCTTCGGAGATGACGCGGACGCCGCGGTCGCCGAGAGCCGGCAGGTCCAGCCTCAGATCCTTGCCAACGTCACCCACGAACGAGCCTTTGGGCAGCTCCTCAGGAACCGAGTAGCGCAGCTGCCCCCACGCCTCATTCCATGCCGTCACCAGAACGACCCACAGCAGGGCTCGTTCCCGCCGTTCCCAGCGTCTCCCCGCTGCTCTCATCATCGCCTCACACAGCTCCCCGCCGCTGCACCGCTGTTCTGTCTCCTTTTCCTTCTTCAGCTGCTGCACTGTCTACTGGTCCGGATCGCATCTGCCGCCAGCTACCACTGGCCTCTCCGCCTTGCTGCAGCACGGCTCCTCATCGCGGGGACGCTCGCAGACAGTCCACCCGCCGAGACAGACAGCAAGCGAGCTAGGGAGCTAGTCGGGCAGAAGCGGGCGGGGCTGTCGGCAGCGCTCCGGCCTTCCTCTCGCTCCTCCTCGGTAAACAGCGGCACCCGCAGCCTCCTCTCGGCACTGCAGCCATTGAGCGCTGCGCAGCGCTGCCAGCCCGGCTCCTGTCGAGCTTTTCTTTGGATCGTAGGCCTTTTATTTCCATCGCCCGTCATTCTAAAAACATAGTCTCCAACACTACATTTTTTATCCTTGGTCCTTGAATGACTGGGCAAAAGAAAACTGGTTCTAAGATCCCAAATGCAGTAACCAGACACACCCTTCTCAACCCTCCCAAAAACCAGGTTTCAGCTTATTAATCCACATGGAGGGAGCTTTTCTTTAAAAACTTCAGTTCACAAGGAACAAGCTTCAACTTCACTACACTATGTGCTCGAGAAAGAATCAAAGTTGATACATCTGCCCTTGCTATTGTGAATGGTTTTATAGGTCTACTCCACATTTTTTTTCCCAGTATTCGAGCGGAAAAACAAAGTTGAAGGACTTCAGTGGATAATTTCCCTTTTTCCCATATAAAATGAAGAAGGTTTATAGTTTATTCAAGCAACTTGATAGCTGAAATACTGATGTAAAGGACTGTGACTTGTTAATAAACTTTTCAGCTAATCCTTGACTCTTCATGTTGGTAGGACACCTCTTCAACAAAACAAAATACCGTAGGACAGGAGATTACAGCGGCAAACCCTGAACCAGGCGGACGAGTTTGAAATGTGTAAATGGGGTCTATTACGGTGCCTAATTGCTGCATTTTTGCATAACTCGTTCTCGGGTTAAATGTGTCTCAGAATGGGTAGAAGACTATCCTGGTAACGAGGCAAACACAACAACTATGGCTACAAGTGACTGACAGACCGAAATCCTTAGTCCAAGCACCTCTGTTAGGGAAATGGGGCGAGAAAAAGAGGACAGTCTCCGAAATACAAAAGAGCTTGTTGGGTTTTTTTTTTTTTTTCTGTTGTTTTTGTTTTGGTTTGGGTTTTTGTTTTTTTTTTTTTGTTTGGTTTTTTTTTTTGAGATCCCATATTACACCTTCACCCACGGAAAAGGGATGAGCAGTAACTGCCCTAAGAACTCAGAAAAATCACGCCCAGACAGGACTTATCCTTGCTATCAATGCTTGCATTTCTGCAGCAGCCTTCTGCAAAAGAAAGGAGGGAACGAGGCTGAAGACGGAAGCGTTCACTGGGGAAAAACAATGTGTAACTGTTGATTCATAGAACCACATGCACGTTTCCTTTAGGGCACAGCATTAACCACGGACAAGTCTATAGTTTTGGTAAAAAGTGATTAGGAAGCAAACATCTCCAATAACAAGCTCCATCCCGTTTTATAGACCCCGTTATGCAGAGCGGAAAGATCTCCTTCTACATGGTGTGGATCCATCTGCACCACTACTGACATGCAGAATTTCAGACAACATCAGCTACTTAGCTTTAAGCGTAAGTTCTCGTCTATTTAGCTCTTTCATATAAAACAAACCTTAACCATCAGTCTGCAGGCACAATCTACACACACACACCAGCTGCAAACGTTTGTAGTCGTTGCGGTAGAATGACTTTTCCCTCACCCTTTCAGCAGATCAAAACTGTATCAGACCGGAACACCATCAGCCAAATTAATTTTGCAGATTCCGAGCAATAGTAGCAAAAGGCAGCGATAAAATTCCCCCATCAGACAAAGTCCTTCTCAGGACTTAGTTACTCTTCTCCTGCAATCCAGAGGCTGCTGTGCATCATCCTGCATTGCTCCTGCTTCTCCCACCAGCACTTAGGAATTTTCCATTTCCCAAAACTTCAACAAATAACGCCTGATCAAAATTAACCAGTCAAGATCCAATTAAAAGCAAGAGCCCACCCAGGAGGATTACATGTGAGAGCTCGTCACACGCCAAAAAAGTGACCTTTCAGTGAATGCTCCCCCAAAAAAGGCCACAGGACAAGATTATTTTGGTTCCTGGAAAAAGAACAGTATGACCTTCCCCCAGTAGAGCAACGAAGAGCAATAGAGCATACAGCCGGTACGAAAAGAGCAGAGATAAGGACTGAAGCGCGGGCTTACAAACCTGAGATACGTCGGGGTCCGCTGGAGGTTTCCCCGTGACGGCGCTGCTGCTCAGGCTCCGTTCTCCGCAGGGCTCCCCACAGAGAAGCTCCTCCGCGGCCAAGCTGGGAAGCGGTGGCGGTGGCCAAGCGGCCTCTTCGACGGCTCGTCCGGGAGCCACGCACAGGTTGTAGGAGTAGGGCAAGGTGCCCTCGCAGAAGTCGGCCGGGAAGGCGGCGATGGCGCCGTCCCCGGAGAAGCGTTGCGCACCCAGGCAGCGCAGCACGGCGGGCGGGCCGGCACGGCGGCTCCTTGCCAGCACGGCCAGCGCCACGCTCAGCAGGAAGAGCGCGGACAGAAGAGCCAGCGCCAGCACGAGGGAGAACTGCAGCTCCGCCGCCGAATCGGCGCCCGCCGCCCGCTCGCTCAGCTCCGGCAGCGCCTCCTGCAAGCTCTCGGCCAGTACCACGTGCAGCGTGGCCGTGGCCGACAGCGCCGGCTGCCCGTGGTCCTTCACCACGGCCACGAGCCGCTGCTTCGCTGCGTCCCTGTCAGACACGGCCCGCGCAGTGCGCACCTCGCCGCTATGCAGCCCCACGCGGAACAGCGCCGGCTCTGAAGCCTGTACCAGCTCGTACGATAGCCAGGCGTTGCGCCCCGCATCCGCGTCCACTGCCACCACCTTGGCCACCAAGTACCCGGCCTCAGCCGACCGCGGCACCATCTCGAATGGGACGGGGGCCGGGGCCGCTCCCTGGTCTGTCCCTGAGCCCGCCGCCGGCCACAGCACCCGCGGCGCGTTGTCGTTGCGGTCCAACACGAAGATGCGCACCGTCGCTGTGGAGCTCCGCGACGGTTCACCGCCATCCTGAGCCCGCACCACCACCGCGAACTCGCGGCACTGCTCGTAGTCGAAGGAGCGCTGCGCGTACACCGCGCCGCTCTGAGCCTCCACCGACACGTACGGCGCCGCGCCAGCGCTGCCGCCCTCCATCGAGTACCTCACGCGCCCGTTGCTGCCCGCGTCGGAGTCACGCGCTCCCACGCGCAGAACTAGAGAGCCTGCCGCGTTGTTCTCCTCCACGTAGGCGCTATAGGCGGTCTCCTCGAACACCGGCGCGTTGTCGTTCACGTCCGACACCTCCAGCACCAGCGCCGTGCTGCTCGAGAGAGCCGGACTGCCCCGGTCCCTCGCCACCACCGTCACGCGGTGCTCGGACGCCTGCTCCCGGTCCAGCGCGCTCGCCGTCACTACTTTGTGCAATCCGCCTGACGACGCCACGAGCGACAGCGGCGCCTCGCCCGACAGCTCGCACCACACCTGACCGTTCTCCTCAGAGTCCGGGTCTTTCACGTTCAGCAGGGCCACCACCGTGCCAGCCGGCGTGTCCTCGGGTACAGGGCTTGACACCGACAGTACCGTGATTTCGGGCGCGTTGTCGTTCACGTCCAGCACCTCCACCTCCACCTCGCAGTGCGTTAAAAGTCCGCCCCCGTCCCTCGCTTCTACTAACAGCGTGTAGGCACGCGTGTCCTCGAAATCCAGCGCCTCCTGCAGCGTGATCCTCCCGCTCTCCGCGACTATCGCGAACTTCTGAAGCACCTTTGCCGACATTTTCCCAAAGCCGTACGTGATGCGGGCGTTGCTGCCTGAGTCGGCATCAGAAGCGGACACGTTCAGCACCGTCGAGCCCGGCAGCGCGTTCTCCCGCAGGCTCACTCGATACCGCTCCTGCGCGAACACGGGAGCGTTGTCATTGGCATCGGTGACGTTAATGCAGATCTGGGCGGTGCCGCTCTGGGGCGGGTCCCCGCCGTCCACCGCCGTCATCACCAGCCGCAGGCTTTGTTCTCTCTCCCGGTCCAGCGCCTGGCGCAGCACCAGCTCCGCTAACTTGCTGCCGTCCTTCCTCTCTTTCACCTCCACTGCAAAGTATTCATTGGCTTCCAGCTCATAGCCCTGCAGCGAGTTCCTGCCCACGTCTGCGTCTTCCGCCGTGCCCAAGGCAAAGCGGGCGCCGGGAGAAGTGAGTTCGTTGATTTCCAGGTGGAAACTTTCTTGTGGAAACCTCGGGGAGTTATCGTTTACATCCTGGATGGTCACGTCGACGTGGAAAACGTTGAGGGGGTTATGCACCACCGCCTCGAAGCTGACAGAGCAGGACGCCGACTTGCCGCACATCTCCTCCCTGTCCAGCCTCTCGCTCAGGTACAGGTTCCCGTTCTCCCCACTCACGGTAAAGTATTGCTTCACGGCGCTCAGCCGCAGCTTGCGTGCCGGCAATTCTGCCGGGCTCAGCCCCAGGTCCCTCGCTAGCGGCCCCACAAGCGAGCCTCTGTCCAGCTCCTCAGGGATGGCATAGTGGAGCCGCTCCGGCGCCACCCGGTAGCACCAGCACAGCAGCAAAGCGGGCAGCAGCACTCGCCCGGCTGCTGGCTGCCCGCTCTGCCCATGCCTCTGCCTGCTCGCCATTGTCGGCAGAGCTCACCGTGCTCCTCCCTCCTGCCGCTCCTTTCCTTCTCTTCCAGCCCCTCTCCACAGAGAACAGGGTCTTCCGGAAGGCAGCGAGCTTGATGCTGGCTATGGCGCCGCTCCTTCCCCCTCCGCCTCTCGCCTCTACTTGCCCGTGTCGCTCCGCTGTGGCCGGCACCCGGCTAGCGAGCAGCCTGCAGTGGAAGGGGGCTGCGGCGGCTGTGGCTGCGGCTTCGGCTCTACCGCCGCTCCGCGTCGGGCAACAGCGACACCCGGAGGCGTCACGACGCCACCGCTGCCGGGTGACGGTCCCGCTCCCAGGGACTCGCTTGTCGGGATCATAAAAGCAACGGCAGCCACCCACAGAAATGTTTCTCTATCTG